GCAGACAAGTGCAAAGCTAAAAAAAATTATCAGGGCGTCTTCACAAGCATTTTAGTTAAATAAATGATCATTTATGACCCCTGTTAATAAAAGCACCTTAATTATACATTTTGTCAACAGGCATTTACAGTTCTTGTAGTCTTAACAAATTTTACACTGTCTTTACTGATCACTGATGCGCAGTGCTTCGACTTAAATCCATGTTAAATTAAATAATGTAAAAAAAATATTTTTTAATATATTGTTTCATAACATCAGTTAAGCCTCAAGGACAAAGGCATGGACTCCTACATGTTACAAGATTCCAATAAAATCATATGTGTTGACTTCAAGAAACAGCGAGATTCACCATCCAACGCTGAACTTCAGAACTGTCAGCCTTACGAAGAATTCTTCGCCGACTTGATGGTGCATGATACGTCCGATGAAATAAAGCTAGCAAAATTCGTTATTGACTTGAAAAGTACAATCTACAATGGATCAGAACCAAAGGATCCCTCCTCTTGTACTAGTCAACGCTCATCAGACCTTTATTCTATCCCGTATACTAGCCTAAGTGACACAGATGACTTCGGAGATCAACATGTCCTGACAATGTTGCATTCAACGCGGGAAGAGGAATGCAATCAAGCAGTTCAATCCATGGGACAGCTGATGCCTTTTCCTGACAGATTTGGAAGTGTTCACAGCGTCCAATCTAAACAGCTTGATGAGACTCCACCAGCAGAAGTACATATACAATGTAAGTATATCATTGATCTAATTAAAACACATCACTTGTTTCTTTAATAAAACCTGGCATTTTTCTACGAATTAAAAGTAGAGCTGGGTCAGATCGCATGTAACAATTTTCACTCTTTCATATTAAACTACTATTGACAACAGACCATGGATTGAGGGAGATCTAAGTTTTAAGTGTACCTTTAGCTTTAAAACATGTGCACAGACTGAATCACAACCAGCAGGAATCCAATGAGTAAAAGTGTCTTAATGGATTTTGATGAACGGACTATTAAAGTAATCATCATTCATTTCAATATAAATATGCGTCTGATGTTAGCTACGAGCCCGTGAAATGGAACCATCCACTGCATATCGTGGGTAAAAAGCATCAGACACTAAATGGGAGAGGAGGTAAAAGCCAAATGGAATGCGATTTTAAAAAATGAGTCTACTTTATCCCGCTACGTGTCAAATGCCAACCAATCAAATGCTTAGTTTTATTTGTAGAAATTTTTTAAAAATATATTAACATTTATGAATAGAAAACTCTATTAAATTTTGAATGTATTCAAGTGCCAATTAAATAACGCATTGAAATTGATTTAATTTTGTATCCACAGATAATCAGTTGGCATCATTTTCAGAATTGAAAAACTCGATAAACTGTGTACTAAAGAATCCTCTAAAATATTTGACAAATTTGAATTTCCTTTTACATAAGGTATTAATTATAATTTTCAAAAATTCACATGAGCTTTTTAAAACAGATTTGGATCAATCAGTAAGAGAAAAAAAAATTTATGGATTGGACTGGAGGGACATTTACAAAACTTGACGATTGTTCATTTTTCTTTTAAAACTACGTTCGACCATTGAAATATGCTTAGCTGTTTTCATTTTAATCAACTAAATTATTGTTTAATGATCTTCTCCCTTGTCGTCACATCACAGGTGCTGCCAGAACTCCACGCCCGGTTCAAAACTGTCGGCATCATGACCCTGGCCACCTGCGACGATCTGGAGCTACAAAAATACGCACTGGACACGATGGAGATGCTGTTGTTGGAAGGAAGGTTGACAGAGCACTCAATCGATTGGACGACGATGGTTAGGAGATTCTTCTTCTATCAATTCTGCTGCGTGATGATGAAATCATTTAATTTTTTTAAAACAGTTTTTTTGGGGCGTTTCCCCAGAAAATTGCCAGCGAGTTGTACTGGCTTCCTCGACCCAAAGCGACGTTTAAATGTGAAATCAAATTGTTAATCATTTCAACGATTTTTTGCCACAGTGTACAGTTTGGGAAGAGTGTTTCATTTAAGGCCAATATTAACAGTGAACAGTTGTAAAACGATAACAAAATGTGTTATTGAAAGCCCCCCTAGTATTTAAAGTACTTAAGCACAAAACATATATTATGAGTTATTCCATTTTGAAAAATCAAACTGACTGAAAAAAAATCTGTTTCAGGTGTTAGGTCTGCCCATGGAAATGGGTCTAAGATATTTTTGTTTCAATTTCTCTTGTATGTTAAGTTCAGCGCTATCCATGGCGATAAATAGTGGGTGGAGAGGAAAATAACAATGTGACTTGATAAATTTTAGCACTAAGGTCTTCTATTGTTAACTGCCAACAAGAATCATTTGAACACAACAGTACAACTAGGTGTAAAACAAGTCATCTTAGATGCAATTAATCACCTGGGTAGATTCATCATCATCATCATGTCACTTAGTCCTTGGACCGTTGGGGCGCCACAGATGACATGTGAACCATCCTCCTCCATTCGTCTCTGTCTTCTCCACTACGCACAGCATCGCCCAGTGTTAGCATGGTCCACTCTTTGATGTTATCCTCCCATCTTTTTATTTGTCTTCCTTTTCTTCTCCCTCCTCTTGTGATGCCCTGCAATATTTCTTTGGCAAGCCCTTGTTTCCTTGTTACGTGGCCGTACCATTGTAGTTTGCGTTTTTTCAAAGTCACCAGTACTCATCGTACTCACCAATTGCCTGACGAATCCTTTCTTTAACTGTATCATTGGAGATATGGTCCTTATAGCAGATGCCAAAAATGCTTCTGGATAGATTATTAATCTTTAATTATGATTATATTTCTTTGTAATTTTGATGCAGTTTCTTCTTTAATTGCTTACGTGATATTATTTAAATAATGTACTATTAATTGAAAATTATTCTTAAGATCTTTAGATTTTTTTAATAGGCTGTAGTTCTCTGAATGGAAATCTGCAGTTGATTGTGTTTTTTCCCAAAGAATATGTAACATTCATTTTTGAATTATTTAAAATCTAACTTGTAAGTTTATTTAAAAAGTGGAGCCCTATATGACTACAGTCGTTACCGCTATTAAAATCAAATAGGCCTTTATGGTTAATGATTGTTTTTTTTTATCGTTGAAAATATTACTTCCTTGAATCTTTTAGGATAAAGCTCAAGAAATGCTCGTCGAGTCCATTTGCCTAATGAGGTACGGTAATCATTTAAAGTAAAATATTGATTTTGTTTTTTAAATTCTGTAATTTATTTTGCTACGTTTTACAATAAGCGTCGCGTTCCCGCCATTAAAGATTCACCTTTACTTTCAACAATATTTTTTTATAAATTCTGATTTAGAGAAAATTGGGATGTCTGAATTTTTTGTTTAATTTAATACGTAATTTAAAAAAAAAAATATGTATCCGGTGTATAGCTGAATTCACTGATCCATTTTCTCCCCCCTTCAATCAATATATAAATTTGTTGGCTTAACTTTCTCAAGGTTTCGTTAATAACAACAGAGCTATAGCGTTGTTTCTGCATCACCTGCGGCTGCAAGGGGCCTAGGGCATTTAAGGGGACCAAAGTTGTGATGTGGAATAAAATGAACTGTCTTGGAATCTGTGTTTGGGGGGGGGGGGCAAGGGAGTCCGCATGTCACTCGACCACACCGATTTCATATTTAATATGTAAAATTAAATTCATCTCTTCTTTGGTTATGTCATTCTTAATATTTCCCACAATTTATAGTAAAGAAGTGCAGAGAACGAAGTCTTTAGCAAACACCAAGGCAACACTGCAAAGAAAGTGTACTCTACTCTACATGCTGCAAGGGGAGAGCATCATGGCCTGCAAGGAACCTAGTGACCTAGAGATCCTGGAGAAATTAAACTCGAAGTTAAAGTAATTGAAATTTATTAAAACCAAATTGATATGTAACTTTTATTCAGGGGATATTTAGTACAGGATGAACTTAAAGGCTTTAGAATTAGGATCATGTCTAGGTGCCTAAGAGGATTAGGGCCTTTTGGGGGTCACATGATAAGAGATTTCCTTTTTGAATTAATTTTTTTTTTGTGGGGAGGTGATGATGGGTTGATTGATTTTATATTGTTCGAACTATAAAAGTATTTTGAAGCTTTAAAAAACAAAACAAAAAGAAAAAGAATACGGTAGATCTTTTTTAATCGTGGATCTTTTTCAATCGCCAGCCTGCTTAATTTTTGACACAGCCAACTGTTCTTTGCATTTTTTCAAAAGTGAATATATTCTGTTGTAGCACAGTGATTGTTCTTTTGTGATCCCGATAATGTTTAAGTGTGTGTTCCAAGGGGGGGAGGGGGCTGTGCAAAACTATAACTACTGGCAGCTTCCAACATCTTCTTTATAATTCATACCATGCATACATTAACGTTGTAAAAGAAGCAGCAAGATGCACGTAATGAATACAAACGTGCAACTCTAAATTTGGGGGGGGGGGACCTTTCAATGGGGTCCCGGTCAATATGTGCATGCAGGAATCTATTTATACATTTTTTGTGTCATTGGTCCATTGTAAGTCAGTCTAATTCTAATGGCGCATGTAACATGAGGCAAAGTCACATAAGGCACAATCACCCGCATTCACATAAGGTGCATCAACATAAGTCACACTCACATAAGGCACACTCACATAAGGCACACTCACATTAGGCACACTCACATTAGGCACATTCAAATAAGGCATGGTACATAAGGTGCATTCACAAAAAGGGCCCTTGACTCAAGGTTAACCCTTTTTACGGCCTCTTTATTTATGGTTTAACCTCCCTGTCGCATTCATTTTTGTGATTATAAATTTGTTATAGTGTATAATGAATAGTACAAAGTAACGTAAAATTGTTTGAAAAATAAATTCTTGATTATATTGACAGGCGTTTGATGACATCAAAATGTCATGACATAACTTCAGATAAGTACCTGGGTGACATTCCGATATTTCTGGATACTTCTCCGACTGACGCTCGCAAGATTATCCATTCCATCCTGAGCAAAATATCCACGGATAAACCTTCAGACGTTGTTCTGGAAATGCAGAGCAAAAAAGAACCTTTTCAATTCTTCATTGTGTCCCAGTTGCTAAAAAAGGTGTTTATTTGATCATTTCTTTGTATTATGTGCGCCCCCCCCCCACAATTTTTTGACCGCCCCCACCCCTAAAATACAATTATTTTAGTAAAATTTCCTAAAGTACCAATTAAGCTAGCATACATCACCAATTTAACATAGTTTGTACTTGCACAAACAATTGTCGAGATACGGTTATATATTATATTAAGATCAAATATAAATAATGTTAATTTCATTAACTGGAGCATGTTCCTAAGGTGGAGATATCTGCATGAAAATCTAGGACTAAATATTATTTATCAAGTAGCAGCCTGTTTCAGAATCTGTTTTAATTTTTAATAGTTTATGAACTGCCTATGCCTTGGAAATTGATATCATTGCTCATAGTAGAAAAGTCCATTAGGTCATTGCATCGCTAATAGTATAATCATGAAATAGGTCAAAGCATTGCTCGTACTAGAATCATCCATTAGGTCATTGCAGTGCTCAAAATAGAATCATCAAAAAAGGGTATTGTATTGATCATAGCAAAATCATCCAAAAGGTCAATATTTATTAATTCAATTTATATTGATGGTGAGAGGGATATGGCCTATAGCTATAAAATAAATAGCAAAAACGGAACTAGACTTATTTAGCGAAATAATGATTTTGAAGATACCCACTTTTTTTAAAATTAGCTTTGCGCTTTGGCGCAAAACGTTAAGGTAGATCGCTTGTTTTTTTCCTTTTTCTGTGGATAAAACTTACCTGAAGCGCTTTCTCAGACTAAAGTTTCAGTTTTTGTTGCATTTGTAGACTTCAGCTGTAGAACATCTGTACACTTTATGATTTCTAGACATTTCGGCTTTTGTAAGCATCCTATTTAATTGTATTATTTTTTTGTGGTCACCTCATGTCGTGCGTTCGGTTGTCGGTGGGTTCAGTGGTCAGTGTGGTCACTTGTCCGCGTGGTCACTTGCCTGTGGGTTCACTTCTCCGTGGGTTCACTTGTCATGGGTCCGGTCGTCTTGTGGTCAGTTGTCGTGGGTTCACCTGTCGTGCGTTCAGTTGTCTGGGAACCTGCAAAAACAACTCAATGTATCAAAACAGCAATAAAACAGCCAAGGAGTTGATTGAATTTTATGAGAGAACAGCGTGGGGCTAAGCTTTGGAACTTTGCTTTTTTTTTTTTTAATTTTTTATTTTCAATCATTTTTTAGCTGAATTCCATTGTAGTCATTGCTAGCAAATGCTGCGCCCCGAGGTAGCTTGAATTTAGGTGTATTCTTCCACAGAATGTATAAAGTAATGCGGTAAACATATTTTGGAGGAAAAGTGGCGACTTTGCCGCGCACCATAAAGGTGGCACCAGGGGCGCTCCCCCACTGGGAGACTGACTGTACATACCAGATGTTTTTGCAGCTTCTTAGCTTCTAAAGTCCCATTAGATTGTTGGAGGCCCCTAAGGCTTCCGTTTTTTATTTAGCCCAGTGGTCGGCAAACTGTGGCTCTCGAGCCGCATGCGGCATCTTAGCAACCTTAGTGCAGCTCGGCTAGTCGGCCACAAATCGATTTGGACTCCGAAAAACATTTTTTCTTGAAAAAAAAATTAGATCTCAAACATTTTTTAATCGTGCTGCTGCTGATTTTTTGGCTATTTTGACTAATGAGTTTGCCGACCACTGACTTAGCCTATAGGAAATTAAGGAACTGCATGCATCTCAGAGTTAAGGGGTTTTCCTGTCCAACTCTGTCTACTTGCCCTTTCAAAATAGACATCGTGGTTAAATATCTTGTGTTCCAATGCAAAAAAAGAAATATCTTAACATCGATAGGCCAGTGCAGTCTACATTCTCATAAACTTGTTTAGTGTCCCCGTCAAAGGTCAGTTACCTGTTTGTTTGCCAGATATGCCCTTTATGAACTCCTTGTGGCATCCGTGCAGTATCAATTTGTCATGCCACTAATGAACTTTCACTTCATTTTTACATCATCTTGAGGATTCAAAACTTCAGTTTACCTGATACACAATTCAAATTATTCTAAACTTAGATTAATAACTTGTTTTAACAAACAAACAAACAAACAAACAAACAATAGTATTAGAAACGCTTCCATTTTGCAAGTAAACATTTCTCATAAGTTAATTAACATTATTTTTCCTTACTTACAGATTTTCTCCGAAAGAGATTTGCAATCACTAGAGATTTTAAAGGCATACTTTGCTAAGCCAAAGGGCAACAAGCTCTTCCGGCGACCAACTATCTACACGGCTCCCTCCTGTTACCCCATGATATTACGACAACTGACGCATGTGCTCAACAGTCTATCAAGCAAGTGCTTTAAATTTTATCTTAGTTGACCGAAAAAAAAACCGTTATGAAAATTTAAATGACCAGACCTTAACAACTTTAAAATTATATTGTTTTAGCGATGCCGATGCCCAGAAGGTTTGCCTGTGCTGAGTTGACATTAATCATTTTAACATCTTTTCAATTGTGTTTTTATAAGTTAGAATCTTAAGTGTCTTAGTCGGGCCCGTAAACGGGACTCGACGGCTTTGTATCAAAAGTTGGTCAAAGGTTGCTCCGAATGTTCACTTTTGCATAACACAACCAACTTCTTTAAAATGTTGGAAAAGTTAACTTAAATAAATGTACTTCTATCGCAAAGCAGAGGCAAAAAGTCAGGGGGGTGTCAGTGCCTTCCTGACTCCCCTCCCCCCAATCCACTGACCTGCACCGAGTAATTTTCACGCGATCACACAGAATCGCTTTTAGTTTTGTTTGGAGATTACGTCATAAAGCAACAAAATACATCAGGAGAAAACAGATCTTGCTTGAGACGAACGATTAAAGATTACAACAACAAACATTACATTCCATTTCGCCTTTTACACTTTACTTTCTTTGCCTTCCAAGAAGCAATTCTATAAATCACTTCATCGAAATCAATATTCTACACCGTAACGCTTTCAATTGACAAATTTCTTAATAGATTGCAAGTAATTGTGTGTTTTTTGTATGTGTTTTTTGAAAAACTCGTCTCACATGAAGCTACAGGCACACAGATCATGAAATAATTGAAGTGCTAATGAAACGATTGGTAGAGATTCTAAGAATGGGGGTGGGAAATCTTATTGCTGACCCTTAAGTCGTGTGTAAAATGATTCTCTTAAGCGTGGTCAATTTTCACTGCTTCAGCAGTTGACATGTTGACAGCTGTATGGATCTGGTTGACCAGTAAATTCACTGTCATGTTCACCAGCCTGAGCTGCATTCGCCCAAACAAAGTCTATGGCGAATATCTTTTCAATCTGAACAGCAGCATTGCGTCTGTTCGCCTATTGTTTAAAGACGTATGTGCAATTTCGAACCGGATAAAGGTTGGACAACGCTGGACGCAGCCAGACATGTGAGACAGGATGATGTGTTGTAGAAATTTCTTCGCTATAGTGTTCGAGGATCCAGTTTCTCTTATAGGAATGTGTGGTTCTACGAAGATAGTCAAATTCACTAATTGCTGGTTGATCAGACTTTCACTTTCAATGACTGAGTACACCTTTAAGCAAGATAATTGCTTGATGGCTTCTCAAGTTTTATTCTCTCTGGGAAATTTTCTTCCACCTTTTGTCAAACACGGTCGACATTTACATTCATTCACATAAGAGCAAAACATATTGCTCATCTATAAATTATTTTTTTTTCCTTCACTGTCAGATTCATTTCCAGTAAAAACAGCCCAACATATAATCCTTTTAAATTCTAGCGTCACGTGGAAGCTGGAGCAGCAATGCACCATTGCCACTGGCTAGCAAGTGTAAGCCTTCAAGATTTTGGAGTTTCAGTACTGTTACTTTTGGCACATATTATATTTCATGATTTGTGTATAGTGAGGCAATTTTCAATTTTTTCATTCAGACCAGCTGTTTTTTTTTCTCTTCTTTTTTAAAATTTAGCCTCTCTATTTTAGTAAGTTCCATTCATCTATGAATTTCAAAACTTCAATTACTGACCAGACTTTAGCTTCGTCGAGATTATCGTCCGCTACCTTCTAGAGCCTTTCAAGCCTGAAACCTTGGTATTTCCATCAAAAGTAGATTTTCAGATGGCTTATCATGGCAAGCTGTCAGTTGTGGAATGAACACCAGTAATTCTTCTTCAGTCACCTAACGTACTCTTGAATAGCTTGAAAAATCTTTTAAGCAATGCTACTGATCCTTAAAAAAAAACACAGTAGATGCTCTGAAGTCACCCTTTTCTATGGACAGTCTGTCAGGTGGCCCTCTTTTCTATGGACAGTCTGTCTGGTGGCACCCTGTTCTATGGACAGTCTCTCTGGGGGCACCCTGTTCTATGGACACTCTGCATTGTGGCATCTTGATCTTGTATTTATTAACTGAGGTTTGTTGTGAAGCTGACTCATCGTTACAATTTTCCATTTGGTGTCACCTCAGGGGTCAAGTCCCCCAAGATTCCGTTCCCATGCGTTCCTGTATGATCGAACCTTGGTGACTTTGCAGTCATCTCCAAGTATTGAAGTCGTAGCAGTTATTTCCCAGAACATAACATATGTATTAAATTCGTCTTAGGCCTACACCTGCACACATCTAGGCATACAGACACACCTTCAAATGCAATATTTGAGACATACACGTGCACATAGCTAGACCTAGGCCTACACTTGCACATATCTAGACCTTGTCCTAAAAATATTTGAGCTAACCTTTTATTGAATATTGTAAAATCTGCCAATGAGTTACTTTAATGTGACCTTAATAAAACAATTAAAAGAGACTGTGCTGACAGGGACTTAACTGTAACCGGACTTTGTAATGACAAAAGACTGTACCGACATGGTATCAACTATAAACAGACTTTGTAATAACAGGAGAGTGTCTCGACAGGGCATTAACTGTAGATCTACTTTGTATTCATAGGAGACTGTGCCTACAGGGATTTACCAAGACTCTGTGAAGATGTTAAGATGGTCATAATTTCATGCAAGAAGAAAGATCCGAAAACATTTGAAGACGTAGGTGGTGCACACATTAACAATACTTTTAGCATTCTCCAATGAAACATTTATTTTGAGACGATATCAAATGAATTCACCTTGGCTCATAGAATATGATTGAAAAAGAAGCATAGCCCCCCATCTTGATCAATATACTTTCAGTTGATGGTGACTTTACAAACACTGATGTTCAGACAGACTCCAAGTGTACGAAACTGTGTCGTTGAACTTTTTAAAGCTGAAGGCATCCACCACAAATCCTGTGTGCCCCATCTCATACAAGCCGTGAGGAGTTTATTGTTTCCCGTCTTGGTGTTGGACCAAGGTGCCGTGACTGCCAAGGTGAGAGTGGTGTTTAGATTTATATGTGCGCTGGCTGAAGCAACACAACCAAGTTGCGAGTTAACAAAATACAGGAAGAGGTGCATAATCTATAAAGTCGTGCGTTTGATCTCGTAGGCACCAAAAGCACACAAAGGAACACATTTCCTGACACTCTGTGCTGTGTGCCAACTTGTGCTTGCTCTACAAAGGACTGGTGGATATATGGAGCGCCATTTGTCCCCCCCCCCTTTTCCTACTCCTAAGTATCGCTAATAGTCTGTTGCAAAATAAAGGACAAATTATTCTTTTAATGAAATAATTTTGTCATTTTAAAATTAAAAATGCTCAGTTGAGGGAGTTAAGCCGTAAAACTATTTAAAGGGGTTTAAAATGTATTACCTTTCTTAAGAGGGGCGGACCATTTCCACTGTGGAAAAATTATTTCAGATATGGATAGACTATGCTGGAAATGTAATGCAACAATGAATTTTAAAATTTAACAATAAAATAACCATTGAGTTTATTGTGTAATAAAGTCATGCATAATTAAAATTATTTTGCCACATTTTTATTGCTTTCCTAAGGTTTTTGTCATTCTTTATCTTTTCGTACCGCGTAAAGAGCCTGTATTGGTTCAATCTAGGTTTATGCATGATTTAACATGGCTGTAATCATTATTTAAAAAAAAAAAGTTACATTATTTAATTTGTATATTTTAAACGAAGTAAAAAAAAAAAGCAGAAAATAAAATTTTTAGCCTTTAATTTTCGTGGTTTTATTTCAGATTCGATTCATTCCTTAGTTCTTTGTTTTATGTGTCCCTCTATCCAAAGTACGTTCCATGACAAAACTTGCATCGTCTTTCACGCTGTTACACATGTCAACATCAATTCTGTACTTCATGTAACTAACTGTTTAAAACTGAACTTCGTGTAACCAACTGTTGAAAGCTGTACTTGACGGAACTAACTGTTCAAAACTGAACTCCATGTAACCAACTGTTGAAAGCTTTACTTGACGGAACTAACTGTTCGAAACTGAACTTCGTCGTGGAGAATAAACATGTTCCAAATCTATTTTTAAAAAAGGAAAAGATTAAAACATTTTTAATTGGCGATGCAGTGTTATAAATAAATATGTATTTTAATTTTATAAAAAATGTATGGGAAAAAAATATAAATATACATAATTGTATATAATTTTATTGTCCCAGTCTCCAGAGCAGGACTGCGATGGATGGGTAAAAATATCCGGCAAGTTCAGCGTTCACCCAGTTTCGGTTTTTATTCACGAGCCAACCGAAGAGGACCACAAGCAAACAAATACCACAAAATTTGCTGACTTAAATAACGCAATGCGTTTAAAACAAATTGATATGCTACGCAACCTGAGGCATGAGAGCATCATCACACTGTTTGCATTTAACACAAGTCACATCCCGAACTTCTATGTCATTGAGGTCTGCATGGTGGAGGGAAATGAAAACCTACAGGTGAAGCCAATTGTACATTTTAAATGGAACATATTATTGAGAAATATACTAAATGGTTTCACCATCAAGGCATCATGCCTAACTGTCAAGACCACATACCTAACCATCAAGACATCACACCTAACCATCAGGACACCACACCTAACCATCCAGACATCATTCCTAACCATCAAGACATCATATCTAACCATCAAGGCACCACACCTAATCCTCAAGACATCATACCTAACTATCAAGACATCACACCTCACCATCCAGACAGCACACCTAACCATCAGGACACCACACATAACCATCAAGACATACCTAACCATCAAGACATCATACTTAATCTCGTATTGACTGTTATACATTTAACTTGATACTTTTTTGGCATGACTCCGCTTTTAAGACATTGGCTCCATAAAACCACTCATAATTTTTTTTTTCTATAGAATTTGATGAGATGTTGTTTTAATTTCTAAAAAAAAATTTTAAACTCATTTCAATCAAACTGTATTCAAATCTCGCCCATTAACAAATGATAACATAAGAGGGGGTCAAATCTAAAAAAACAAACCCCGAGATGTGGTCCCATAGGCGGTACACATCGAAAAGATGAAAACTCCAACTCTTTTGACGTAGAATCCATAAGGGGCACAGAAAAACACACAGGACGCGCTGATGGCCATCTACTGTATCCTGGCTAATTGTCCGATGTCTTGACACAGGCTTGGCTTTTGGAACAAATAGGATGAGATAGTGAGGCTGACACACTGAGCAACTCTCCAACACTCTAAACAAAATCTAGCCTAAGAAAGTTGTATAGCCCTGGTCATCTTTCTCATGCGAATGACGAACAATCATGTCTTTGTTTAAAAAATTAACACGTACCCTAAAGGCAGTAGCTCCTTTGTTACTTTATAAATAAATACAAACTGTGTTGTTGTTGTTGTTGTTTTTAACTGTCTACATTTCTAAATCTTTCCAGGAGTATCTGGTGCATAGATACATCAACCGAACGTTTCTCTCGCAAGCCATCCTTTTAACGATGTTGATGCAAGCAGCTGCTGCCGTGGAGTTCTGCCACAGCAAAAACATCATTCATCGAAACCTCACAGCTGCCAGCTTCCTGGTGGCCGGAAAGACTAAAGTTAAACTGACCGGCTTCCACTTGGCCACCGCTCTTGGTGCCGATGTCGATGAACTACACATGGGTATGTCACCGAGTGTAGTTTTTTTTTATAGCATTCCCAATAGAGGACCGACCGAAATTTCGGTTTCGGTGCCAAAAATTTGATCACTTTCGGCCTAGTTTCCGTTTCGGCCGAAACTGAAAAGTTAACTTTCGGCTTCCGCAGTAACAGAGAGTTAAATTTGGGTTTAAATTCGATTTCGACCGAAAGTGATTCAGACTTTCGGCAATCTGACTGGAAGTGACTGAGGTTTTCGGTCATCTACCAGAACTTAGACTGTCGAGGTTCCGATATTCATTATTGCTCGACGTCTTGCTGTCATCGTATGTTATATAAATAATACTCAGCGAAAACTGCCCACAGCTGCATGATGACCTACTTGACCTACTTGTCCTACATTTCCCAAAAAATTACACTTCAACTAGGCCTAAGCAAATGTTAACAGTTTTTTGGAGAAAAAAAATGATGGAATGGTAATATTTATATAATTATTTCTGTTTTAATTTTTTCAAAAATAAAATTGGGAACCCTAGGTTCATTCATTTCGGGCATTCAATTTGATTCAACATTATCATGCTCATCAATATTGCATGTGCATTTATCACTGGCTTGTATTATAATTACGTAGTAGGGCTACTGCAAACCTGTTTATTTTCATGATTTGGCGACGCATTTATGTCTTTTGCGATTCTTCGTCGAAACCCGTCAGAGCAACAAATTTAAGAGACTCGGTAAAAAAAAAAAATTCCCCATCAATTTGGTTGAGGGAGGTTGGTCCCCGAACAAAATAATTACGTCCCCGGCACGTAAGGACTAGTGTGTTGTGACAAGGCTAAATATTAATACAGTGATATCTTGCCAGCTATTTATGAAAACACAAAGCATTAGTATTACGATAACCGCGAAAAATTGTGGTAATATTTTTATAGTATAAATAACCTATATTTAGGTGAAAATTGGCTACATTAGAGCCAGAATAATTATTGTAGGTACACGTTCTAGGATGTTATTATATTATAAAAGCAAAGGGCACTCAAGGGTCTATTTTGCATGAATTTTGCCCCCCTCCCAACCAAATTTTTTTTTCTTACTCCATACAACTTAAAAAATTTTTTTTTAAAGAAATGTAAATTACTTTTAAATTAAAATGGCAAAAGTCAAAGTATTCATTAGATCAGGTGTCTCAAACTCAAATAATCCGGGGGCCGCAGGAGATAGAGCCTGATTGAGACTGGATCGCATCACGTATTCCACACAAAAAAGATTAGAAATTCAATAAAGCAACACTGTTACAATGTGCTTAACCTTTATTAATAACAAATAAACACATTAAGGGTTCTTAAGAAATAAGCTTCACTTTCTTCCTCCTACTCCTTTTTGCCAGAGACCTGGCAGCGTTTCTCCTTACACAGCTGAGCAACTTCGGTTTCAGTGAGGAAGCAACTTAGACCCTCGGTATAGCTTGAAGATGCTCATTAGTAAGTCAGGGCTACCTTTTAAATTATTAAAGTTCATAATGGAAAAGAGTTTTTCACACAGATAGGTACTACCAAAAAGTCATTTAATCCGCTTGAGCAACCTGGAAATCTCAGCGAAGGTGGAGGGAAATGCTGTCATAAAATTTTCATGCTTGTTTGTTTTTCCATTCACCTCCCTAGAACTTAGAATTGCACTAAAGATCAATTAGCTCCATTTGAAGCCCCAAAAAAATAAACAAATAAAAAAATAAGGAGTGGTGGAGGGGGGGGGGTTAGGGGCGTTGGCATCTTCCACATTAAAGCAGAAAGGATAAGCTAAAAGCTGAAGTGTAGCTGTCTGTGTTTTGAAGTATTAAAAACTTGATCAAATTCTTTCTGTAGCTTTGCAATAGCATCAGTATACTTACTACTAAGTTACTACTAAATGGTGTGCCCGAGTCCATGAGTACTTTGCATGTTGGGAAATGGCAGAGGTTTCTCTAAGAACCATAAATCAAGTTTTGTGTAGTATGTCATGACAGTATCATAGGCAACACAGACAAGCTACTC